GCTCCCTTTACCTAAACCTGCTTTTTCACTGCTCCTTGCTGGTGCAGGGTTTATGCATCAATCCAGTTGCAGACCTTCCTCTACCCTTCCTCCCTCACCTTTTCTTTCCTCATTCAAGTATCCTTCTTATGACAGCATGGAATTTCAAGAGGTGCATTCACTTCTCACTCTTGCAGCAGTTGTGGAAATGTCTCAAGACTACAGGGGAAGGGATTTTAATCTCATTTTTATATTTCTATAAAAAAAGTTTACTCTGGTCCCAAGGCAATCAAACCCTTTATTCAAAAGCTCAAGTTCAGAATAGTGTCTCTTGCCTCTACCTCATCTCTAGATCAGATCAGTTAGTACATTGCTCTTGATCTTCAAGATGCCTATTTTCATATCACGATTCACCCAGCCCTCTGAACATATACAAGGTCCAAGTGGACAGTTGCCATAACTAGAGTACATACAGCGTCACCCAGAATTTTCACGGAATGTCATGTGTTAGTGACAACTTTCCTCAGAAATCTAGAAATTAGTGTCCCCATGCCTGGATGACTGGATTATTCAGAGGAAATTATGCCAACAAATTGCAAATGCCAGTCAGCAAACTTCATGTATGTTTTGCCTGAGAATAGACAAAGACAAATCAATACTGACTGAGAAAAATAGATTTCATAGACTGTACTCCACAACAGTAGTGGCTTATTTACCATCAGATTCCAAGCCATTCTAGACCTATGTTACCATCTCATACCAGGACATCAGTAAGAACTTGCTTCAGACTGCTAGACCACGTGGCTTCCGGAATCTTCATGGTGTGGCATGCCAGACTTCCCCAGCAATGCATGCAGGGATGATTGAAGTCTATATATCAGCCAGACAAACATCAAATGGACATGCCACACACATTCCACGAGTCCTGCCATCATTTAAAATGGTGGATGAACCCAATAAGCTTCTGTAGTGGGATTCCGGTCTCCCTTCTGTTCCATCAAAGACCGGTGATGGATGCCTCCATCTTTGTATCAAGAGCCCTTCTGGTTGACTACGTATACAGGGTTTATGGACTTCTCAGCAAAAGAGGTCTCCACATAAATTTCCTGGAATTAAGAACCACTTGACAAGAATGATCTGTTTTTTCCTTTCAATCCTCAAGAGTCTTATAAAAGTCATGAAAGACAATATTTTATATAAACTAGCAATCGTGGAGCAAGATCCACTGATTATATCAAAAACCTTCACTACTTTGGAACTCCCTCAGTTACTAGGAAATCACCACAAGGGAATGCATCTATCAGGAATACACACAACATGATCACATATTGCCTCAGCAGACAGTGTAGACAACCACAAGTACTCCACAGAGGACAATGTGATTTTAAATAAATGGTGTTCTCTTCATCCTTTTGCTACCAGAGAGAACAGGAATTATCGTCACTTCTTCTCCAGATGAGGGTCATAGCCTGGGATCTATTTCAGAAGAATTTCTGATCCCATTCTACATATTCTCCCAAATTCCATTAAAACTAAGAATTTTCAGGAAGCTCAAGCTGGACTCAGTCAAGATAATCACTGTTCCCAAGCAGTTTTGGTATTCAAAAACCTCTCCATCTAAATGCTGATATGCTTACTTTTACTGTCAAACCTAATTTTCAGAATTTTAGCCAAATCCTGCCTACCAATCCACTATTTTGCGGCACGGATGTTAGGTGGTTGACATCATCGGCACTTGTTTGTTGGAAGCCCCAAATAACCTCTTCTATAGTATAAACGATTTTGCAAGGCAATCATGTTCTGCTAAGTGAAAGATTTATAAAATGGGCCTGTCGGGGTTAATTTTCACCTTTCAGGACTCAGATTTTAGACTACCTTCTGGAATTAAAAAGTTCAGGACTATTGGTGAGCTTATTAAGAGTTTGTCTTGCAGCTATTTCAGTGCTCCACCTTCCAGTTGATGGAAATGTTTAATTCTATCACCGCTTCATGACTAGGTTCTTAAAGTGGCTTATGAGGGTCTACCCTTAAAGAACCTATCCTTCTCTGGAATGTAAATATAGTCTTAGCAGGGCTGATGGAATCTCCATCTGAACTTACAGCCACTTGCTCCCTGCTTCATCTTCCTGTTAAATCTAATTTCCAGGTAGCAGTAATATCAAGTAAGAGGATGGGGGGAATTGCAAGTTGTAATGGCAGGCCATCATGTACAGCTTTTCATAAGGATAAGACATCATTAGGACTTCACCCAAAAATTCTACCAACAGTGATCTGTGATTTCCATTTAAGTCAGGTTATTCACCTTCCAATATTCTTTACAAAACTATATTTGAAAAAAGGTAAGGTGAAACTGTATGCATTAAGTGGCCTCTTATTCTACATAGATAGATCTAGGTTACTCGGAGCATCCTCCAGACTATACATAGAGCATAGAGATAGAGTTAAGAACCATGTCTTTTCTGCTCCAAGACCCTCAAACTGGAATTTGGTCTGTATCAAACCTGGCTATGAGTTGGCTTCTGTAATCCCACCATTAAGGGTCATAGCCTACTCAGAGCACAAGCAACTTCTGTTGCCTCTCTGAGCAACAGACCAATCATAGACATCAGTTCACATGATTATCAGTTCACATTCACCCACCCTGTTCTGTCATGGAGGCATTGAACTCTGATGCAGACTTTGGCAGAGCTCTACTACAGTCATTATTTAGGTTGTATCCTACCTTTTAGAATTTAGATCACTCCTGAGTCACTAGCAATGGAATATCTACAGTAAAATTCCAATAGTCCAGCATCCAATAGTCTGGCACTCCTGATAGTCCAGCATCAAAATGTCAAGAGCCTAGTGAGTGAGCTTCAGCAAAAAATGAGTCACAAGGTAACAGCAGCAGCAGCTGCTGAACTGAGCAAAAAGGGTAGAAAAGGCTTTAAAAAACTAAAACATTGCAGTATACTGTATACAGTATGTACAATAAAAAGGGTTAAGAACACTTTATATACAGTATATAATGTATACAGTGTATATATATAACCATTTTATAGTACCTCCTGATAGTCCAGCATATCTGATAATCCGGCATCACCTAAATCCCATAGGTTCCGGATTATCGGAAGTCTACTGTATAAAGAAACAATTGCTTACCCTACTGTAGCTGTGGGTTTTCAATATGTGCCCATATACATAATTAGATTAAAAACACTCTACAGTCTGCCTCAACTTCACCTCCATACTCTGTGCTATTCAGTCTGTGAACATCAAGATTCCATGGGGCAAAGGATCTGAGGTGGCTGGGGCAGTTCCATTCTTCACTCACTCAGAGGCCATAAAATCACAAAGTGTACAGGCCTCCAGCAGACATTGCTGGCCAAAAGCATCCATCTAGAGTGCTCTTGATGCATGTGTTCAAAAAGTGAAATGTATATGGACAACACATCTTGAAGAACCACCACTAATGTAGGGTGAATAACCTTTTATTTCATAAGGTAGCAAAGTCTGAAACTTCTCCCACAACTAAAACAAAACTACTTCTTTACAATTTTTTCTTTTTAAAAATTTCTGTTTTCTGTTCTGTCCAAAAACCAGGAAATGAGGAAAAATGGAAATCTCATGACCATGATCATTAATATCACAGCATTACAGAGTCAGATGATATACTGGAATGCCAAGAAAAGCCAGTTTTATTAAGATTTGCACATTTTTTTCAGAGTTTGTGGTAGCAAGAACATCATCTGAATCTTTTTGCAGTTTGTTAGTTACTAAATTCAATGAAATCACAACAGAGTTTCAATACATACTGAGACCCAGGGCTGGATTAAGCAGGGGGCTAGCCGGGCAGCCGCCCGGGGTGCCAACCTATGGGGGGTGCCTGTTTGAAGTGGTAAGTGGTGCCACGTGCCTGGGGACGGGGCCGCGCATGCGCCGCACACCCGCTGCCCAGAGCGCAAGTATGGCTCGGCCCAGTACTGCTGAGACCTCTGATATGTCTATTGTAGCTCTTCCAAGCTTTCATTTCAAACACTGATACTGGTCAAACTCAGCTGAGGAAAAACCCAATCCCATGAAAGTGAATGGTAAAAATGACTTCTATGGGGTCAGGCACTCAGGGTTTCATGACAAACTCAATGCATACATCTTTCACTCTTTTTAGTTACACCCTTCCTTCTCTTTTTATCTCTCTGCTGAATGATTACCTCATCCCATTAAAATCCCTTCTGAGCCTTTCAACAATAACCTTTCAAAACAAGATGTGGTTAGTTAAAATCAAGAAAGAAATCTTCACCACTTAAAGTCTGGACTTTGATATGATCAGATGCGTTGAGCACAAACGGTGTTCAATAAATAATAATCATAGCTGAGTCTACGTTCCTAAAAAGTCTACAGATCCTTAAAATGAGTTCTAGTCTCAATTTCAAATAAAATATGGGTCTTGTTTATGGTTTCATATAAAACTATATGGCACTGATTGATTTAGAAAGTCAACATCTGCACCTGCTTGTGGTTTTCCAAACATTGTATACAAACAGGTAGAAATTGGCAGTTTCATCTTAGCTTCATTTTTTATTTTGGGGTTTAAGAACCAATATTCAAATAAGTCTCAGAATAAAATGCATCAAAACCAAACACAATGTTTTGATGAATCCCTGTAAACCAAGATAAATATTCAAATAAGTCTCAAAATAAAATGCATCAAAACCAAACACAATGAATCCCTGTAAACCAAGATGTCGCACACTGATATCTTAGCCAGATCTTAGAGGCCTTACTCAGTTCTCATTCATCTATAAGTTACATTGAAGGTTCTTTATTGAAATGATCAATAGAAGACTGCATTTCCAAGCCTGCAGTCAATCCTTTGAAGTCTGTGGGTGTTCTTCCAGAGTGAAGAGTATAAAATTTGGCCTTCTATGATTGTACCAAAAGATATTTTTACAAAACAAGTGTGATATTAATTGTGAAATCTGCATTCAGATGGTCTTTTTCCTTTCATTGCTACATCAATCTTGATTTTATTTTATTTGTAGGAATTTATTTAGGAGTTACCGATTCTGGATTTATATCTCGAGATACAGTGTGGTTCAATACGACAAAAAGCCTGTGTAGTGTCCTAGACTATGGTAATTCCTTTTTGTCAATAATTTAACAAACAGTTTTCTTGGGTGGGACATTATTACACAGTCATGTGACAGATTCCAGCATGCATTTGGGCTGAGGTTGACAGAACTCTGCTGGTGGGATACCCTGACCTAATTCTAGACACATTTGCTCCCCTTGAGATCAGTAGAGATCATCTTGAATTACATGAAAATTTAGTTCATGTGTATATAATTGTCAATAATAAAGCTAAAAATTTATAGATAATATTCTTTAATATTAAAATGTACAGATCCATAGGCATGCATAGAGAAGGAAGGGCTGCTTAGATCAGTGGCAAGAAATGGAACCTAATTTGAAACAGTCTTGGTACCTTGCTTGACAACATTCTCCATCCAGATAAGAGAACAAGTAAATATCACAGATAGTGCATTGAACTTTGTCCGAGAGATGGAGCACCCGTCAGATTTATCAAGCCCCTGCACAAGGTGGGGGGTGGGGGAGTATGAGCTCTGGGAATGGGCAGGGCCTCAGGTGAAAGTGTCAGGGCTGAGGGCAGCCAGCCTTCAGAGCTTCCCAGGGTGCACCATGTGATGCCCTGGCAGCAATTTAAAGGGCCCAGGGCTCCATCCACCACTGTTTCTCTGGCAGCAATGGCTGGGAGCCTTTTTGACTTGCCAAACCCTGGGACAGCTTCCCATTTTGCTCCCTCCCCGTCAGGAGGCCTCTGAGAGAAAAGGACATTAGAGTTGCCATAGTGGTCCCAACTGGCTAAATGGAGTAGGACATATCTCTATCCTTTGTTAGATGATGAGTGCTGAGCTGAACTAGGAAGCTGCTAAAGAACCCATGCTATAACTTGGAAGGCAAAAGAAATAATCAGGTCTTATGCAAAAGAGAAAGATGAGTACTTTGAAGCTATTTTGAACCAGCAAAAACACAGCCCTAATTCCACTGTCCCAACCCCATTGGCCTTATTTTCAGGGTTGGGCTGGCCTGCTAAATGGCATTAGTATTACACATGACTGTAAAAATGTCCCATTATTAATTTATATGCTGAATTCAGAAAGAAGTCAAGCATAATGATACACACAAATGTTCTGATTGGCTAAGTCAGTGGTTTCCAACCTTCTTGAGCATATGGACCCCTTTTCAATCTATTAAAATTTCATGGACCTCCCCCCCCACACACACCTCCCGGAATGATCTGTTTTTGCTAGCCAACTAAACCCTTCCCACCACTCTAATAGCTTTTGAATGGTTACAATGGGGTGACATTAAAAAAGAAAAAAATAAGTGACTAACTCAACTTCAGCGTGGGCTAAGAGACATGCAGACTGCAGGGCATGGAGTTTCTCAGGTCTCATTGGCTGCTGCTTTCTTGCACTGCTTCCTCAGCTCCTGGCCCCTGCATTCCCTGCCCAACCATGGAGCAAGGGGGCTCTCATGGCCAATGGGAGCTCTGGAGCTGCCAACTCCTCAAGGGCAGAACCTCGGGAGTGCGGAGGGGGGGGGGCCAGCAGCCGTGCGCACTGGGTCGTGGCTTGCTTTTGATCCTGTTTCCTGACACTAAAGCTAGGTCTACACTACACCCCTTTGTCAGCAGAGGGATGTAAATAAAGCACATCGAAAGTGCAAATGAAGTGGGGATTTAAATATCCTGCGCTTCATTTGCATAATCACGTTCTGGCACTGTTTCAAACAAGCGCCATTTCGAAACTGAAACCACGGTTTAGACATGGTTCTGCCAACAGCGGGGTGATTTTTGAACAGATCCTGTACTCCTCAATAAACAAAGAGTACAGGATCTGTCAAAAAATCACCCCGCTGTCGGCAGAACCATGTCTAAACCGCGGTTTCAGTTTCAAAATGGCGCTGTTCAAAACAGCGCCAGAACATGATTATGCAAATGAAGCGCAGGATATTTAAACCCCCGCTTCATTTGCACTTTTGATATGCTTTATTTACATCCCTCTGCCAACAGAGGGGTATAGTATAGACCTAGCCTAAGGAGTGAGGGGGAAGTGCTTGCATACCGTGCATGCCTTTCACACACCAGCCAGGCATGAGGCATGCATAGCATGCACATGCTTTCCCCATGCTTCCTTAGCTTCCAGAGAACAGGATCAAAAGCAAGCTGCATCCTGGTGCACACAGCTGCTGCTCACTTCCGTGCTATAGGAGGTGTGGGAGAAGAAAAGAAAAGAATTAGGCCCACCATGGTTGTGCCCGATCCTTACTTCTAAAAACTTTCCATGGACCCCCTGCAGTGTCCTCGTGGATCACAAGTCGGGAACCATTGGGCTAAGTGATTCTTTGGCTTGTGCATAGAATATAGTAATGACAGATGTATGAATGAATATAACAAATGAAGCAGTGATGCTGTTTTTTCCCTTTTTCCATAAGATTGTGCTGGCCTGTCACTTGTGAATATAATCTTAACAAATCATCGGTTAATAATCCTCACCACGCTGGGCCTTTTTATTAGTCAAGATCTGCGCTATCCAACAGGAAGAATTTTAAAAGTATGTTAGTTTGCTTAAAAATTAAGTAACTTCTAAAGCCATATTTGCAAATTAAATAACTTCACAATTGTTCAGACTTTTAAGAGAAGTCATGGAAATATAGTAAAGGAGATTTTAACTTGTGTTACTAGGGGGGTTACTTTGAGATTAGAAATAAAGAAAGATATAGGACAGGAAATTCAACTGTCCCAAACTATTACTCTTCAAATTAAATGTTATCTTATCATAAAAAAGTTGTGAGAAATGTAGCATGCTTAATCCTGCTCCTTCTAACTATTATATCAATAAAATGTAATACTAGAAGAGATCTTTTGGGTAATCTAATTTAAACTATTCCTACAAGAAGTTCCCTTTCTCTACTAGTCTGAAGCCAGTGGTCCCTACTCTCTAACTGGAGTGGGCCAACTCCCTATTCTTTGTTAGTGAGTGCTGAGCTGAACTAGGAAACTGCTAAAGTGTCCATTCTATAACCTGGAAGGCAAAAGGAATAATAAGTTCTTATGTAAAGAAAGATATATGGGTATTTTGAATAGGGATGTTGGATATCAGGTAATAGAATAGTTGAGTAACTGCATGAATTCTTATCCATTACTTGACTATTCTGTAGTCCCCTGGGGTGGGACCGGAAGTCTTTGTGCTCCATGGCCCCTCTCCCGGGGAGCCCCCTGCCACCCTGTGCTGCTGCCCCTGTATCAGAAGCAGCGGCAGGGGGTGCCAGGCGGGAGCTGGTTCGCAAGTGGAGCCAGTTTAAAAACTGGCTCCTTGCACAAACTGGCTCCCTGCAGCCCTGCACTACTGCCCCGTGGACCTCCTGCAGACAGGAGCTGCTGCTGGGGACCAGCCTCTGTCCATGG